TCTAATTTTCTGAGATTGTGGATTTGGGGTTTTCATGAGCTGTAAGCCATAATCATCACAGTTATGACACATCACGGCTTGAACTATCTTGCTTTGCATGTAATGAGTCTATCTCATATATTAGGTTCACCTTTTAAGTTGCATTACTGAAATAAATGAATTTTTGCACGATATTCTAATTTTTCGAGTTTCACCTGTAGATATTATATAATGTAAATTAAGTTTTAATTGATTTTGTTTTAATGGACTTTCTTCTTAGTCCTTAACATCAAGGGGAGAGTTGGCTATTAAATTTGAGTGTTGTTTCAGAATACTAGATTAATTTCTGTGAAGAAAAAAAAGTGGAGGAAAAATGTTACATTGACATAAGAGAAAGTATGTTGTGCTCAAATGCAGCCTCCCACCCTGGGCCTTTAAAGGACCTTGTATATATGCCACCTAATTAATTTGATTAGTCCTATTTGTACAAAGCAAAACTATTATTTAACAGACCAAAATTGCATCTCTGCTATACTTTTTGTTGTAATCAATCACTTGCATATTCCCTGCTATCATTTTTTTTTTTTTTTGCATACTGTATTCTGCTCCTGGAGAAGTGAAGAGGTTGCTCTCTTGAGTCACTGGTGATAAAAAAGAACGAATTTCTCCAGCTTGAAACTACTGAGATTAATTTGCTGTCTCATAGCCTATCACCTGTTCTAAAGCAAGAGAAGGAATGTGAACTGATCTGTTAGCATTTGACCTCTTCCAGTCAGCCTTGAAACCAGGTCACAGCACTGTAAGGTATCACAACATGGATGGACAACTTCATGGCCCACTGCAAAAGTGAAACAAATGAAGATGCTATTTCATCTGTCAGCTCCCTTTGACATAATAAAGTACACGGGATTCTCCAAGCTGAAATAATGATTCTCTTTCCATCCTTTCCAAAATGTTATGACAGCAAGTTCCCCTTATCTAAACTATGCTGCTAACATGTACACTTTCTAAAGGTAAATGCCCAATATTGCTATTGTTGTGCAACTGCAACAATTCCCAGTCATGACAAGTATCCTGCCAGCAATTTGTTTCTGAGATATCATAGGTTTCAGTATCTTCTGTGCACAAAAAATTGGGTACCAAAATTATTACATTAAGCATAAGGAACAAGTGACTTAGAATATAAACAAACCAGCAAAGAAATAGTTACAGTTTTAATTGGAGGCCAGAAATTTTTGAGCAAGTATGCAAGTCATTTTCTCATCATCTAATATTAATTTCAATATCCTCCATGTTTAAAACCTTGCTACCATTTGTAAATATTTATAATAATCCATTTGAACAATATTAACCATCTCTTTTGACCTTAGCATTAGACTCAATTTATGCATGCATATCTCTAAATGATGATCTGTAAATGTCAAGTGCATGTGTGAATCAGCATCGGATTGCTTATAGCAGAGATAATTTCCATATCTGTGGTGTTGACTTAATAATTATTTTCATTGATTGTTCAAACATTTGGTACAGTTGACAAATAATGAACATGTTGACTCATAAATTGACTCATAATTTGTAGATATAAGCGATGATCAAATGATACTTTCCACTGTAAAGTATTGTAATTAATCATTATAGTTTAACTCTAAATGTATATATTTAGTTGATATTCAATATTTCAATAACTATCTTTGGGTTAATGATATATGATGAACACTCAGCTAAAAGAAACCTTGATCTGTCTAAATAATGTATTCTCTCTCTCTCTCTCTCTCTCTCTCTCTCTCTCTCTCTCTCTCTCTCTCTCTCTCTCTCTCTCTCTCTCTCCTATCCATGTTTGTATGTATGTGGGAATGGGTGAAGCAAATTCGTATTGTCATTGGAGGACCTAATAATTTTACTGAAGACACACTGTGCTTTAGGAATCAAGCTGCAGTTTCATTGAATTATTTATCCTTTCTTTCCTTGTTTGAAGACATATACTCTTTTGTCTATGGGAGAAATCTTAGAAAGTCCTTCTCCTTTGCCCAAAAGAGCAGAGAATGATTCATTTCATCTCCCCCTGCACAGAAAAAGATATATGGAAGAAGTGGCAGGAACTGATTCCACCCATTCCATCCCCCCATCTCAGCTTGCCTGCACCAGGGCAGGCGGCCGCATAGCATGTTGGGATTGCCTGCCTCCCCCCCCCACCTCTGGCTGCTGCTGCCACACATTGGGATTGCCTGCCTCCCCCCATGCCTCTGCTTGGAGGGCCGGCCTGGTGTTCGCAGCACTTGGACTTATCTGCGCTGTGTGGACTGCAGCTGCTGCCAACACCGTTGCCCCCTGTGCGCTCACCGCCTCCTGTGCTGGCCACGCCCCCCCCGGGCTGATGACAAACTTAACTGGGGCTTATTTTTGGGATAGGGCTTATTTTCTGGTTGGGTCTTATTTTCAGGGAAACACGATAATTGTTTTCCATCTATATTTTATAAGGTGTATTTTTCCTCATGTTTTTCCTACTTGTGCTATATTGTTTATACTTAGTTCTGTATATATTTAAACATAAATAATGAAGTTTCTGTGATAGTCAGGATAGAATCCTATGCCAAAATACCTGTGAGCAATCTTCATCAGAATATTGTTGAACTTTATTCTATACTTGACAAATCCACATTAGATTTTTTTTCTTCAAAGCAATAAAGCCTATAAAACACTGAGCCATCTATGAAGCTATTTTCTTTCAGAACCAGTCCCAATGGCTAAAATTAATACCATTTATAGGCTTATAATCAAGAATAAGTTATTATCTGGAGAAGATCCAAAGCTCTAAGAAGCCTTAGCACAATTAATTATGTGGGTGATGAAGATTCTGTACCACTTCTTCAATGGCATCCTGTTTCTGTAGTGTCTAAAGCAATTCAGATATTTTCAGTCAAGATACTGCTGCAAAATAATCATTACAAACATAAATAATAATACATTTGCATCACTTATCACTCCTATGAGAGTACCGCTATTTCCTTGAAGGACTTACCAATACAAAGCCATGAATAACAATGAATTAGTTTTCACTAATAAATGACCTCAAAGAAGCTTCTTATTTGGAAGTCTATAGAAGTTCGGTGGTACTTCCCCCCCCCCTTTTCATATACAGTATTCCACATACTTTTTTTTCATTTCCTGAGCTCTTTCATTGTTGTTTTTAATTGACTGTATACTGAAGCATCTTGAACAAAATAATCCAGTACTTTCTTAAAGGCAAACTATAAGACAATTGCTTTATTTGCGTGTCTGTGATAGGGAGGGGAAATCATAAGTAGTGTGGTAAAAGTTTGCTTGAAGTGCAGCCTTTGAGATCTCTTTGACTGGAAAAAGAGCTAATACTTCAAAAAAAAGTGGTCATTTAATCTGTACTCATAACTAAAGTATTTTTTCTGCAAGAGACAACAGTCCAAGAAGTGGGAAAGTGTTGTTTTATTTGGGGGAGTAGGTACTTTTATAGAATGAAATCAAAATCTTTAAAATTCTGATTGTAGTATAGTAGAAATGAGTGCAGAAAAATCTAATGGGAACCAAAATAATTATAAAGTATAACTACCATTTGTATAGAAATCTTACTTCTATTAATCAGACAAATACATAAAATTCAAGAGAGGAAATATTGAAAAAAATTACATTTTCATATAACTACCATGTGACAAACAATATGATTCTCACTAATAAATAAGGCATATTATGCAAAGAGAGAGAGAGAGAAAAAGAAAAAAGAGAAAGTGAAAGATTTTCAGTTTTTGAAACAAATTAAACTCACATACTGCAATGAAAAGCAACAAAATTAGTAAATAATTTTTCTTTGGAATCTAACCTGGTTTATTTTCTAATTATCTGGGTTTTTTGCCTTTAAGTAGTCAATATATATGGTAGTTTTTTTCTTTTAGGATCTTTGAGATTATTCCTGCTTTGAAAAACGTTCTATGATATTTTCCCCAAATTCATGGCTTTCTAGGGTAAATATTTATGGTTCAGACCTTTCTGAAATATAGTCTCTATTTATTTTAGAAATCAATATTGGGGTACAGTAGTTTCTTAATTTCAGTTTAGTATTTCTCTATTCATAAAATTTACTAAAATGTTTATTTTATAATTCCCGGCTAATTCTTGCAGTATAATATATAACTAATTTGTGTCATTTTTAAACTCTTCATTGATTTATTAATTGTCTGCATTTTTTATTTTATTTTTGAACTATATATTTGCAGCAGAAAGTTGCAAGGAATCCCAGACAATAAAGATTAAAGAAGAGCCAATGGAGGTTGAGATTCATGACTCCCATGCTTCTGTTTCACCTAGCCAAAATGTCAGTTACAGCACTTTACTCAGGCAAGAGATAACTGAACAGGTTCAAAAGATCCCTGAAAGCCGTGTAGTTCCGGAGAGAAACCTCTTTAGCCAAGATATATCCGTGAAAATGGCTTCAGAATTACTTTTTCAATTGTCAGGTAAGTATTATATCTAGAGATTCACATTATACTTTTCCAGATTTGTCGTGTCTGAATTTGCTGTTTGTTGATTTTTTAAGTATCTATACTAATACTTAGAAGCTGCAGTTATACATATTTTCACATTTACAAAGTTTTATTAGTTTATAATATACGATACAATCGAAATACAAAGTAAATAACAGAAAAGATGGGGAAGGGAAAAGAGAGTAGAGAAGTGAGGTCAAGGAGAGAAAAAAGGGGAAAAAAGGCATTGACTTCTGATTTTCTTTTGTGCAATAAAGTATCAACTTCAAATTTGAAAGTGTTATACATATTTAAAATAGTCACAATGTGTCTTATTTTGGGGGAAGCATGGTATGTATAGAATAGCACTACTAAACACAAAGACTATTTCTAAATAAACATAGTTATTATGGTTACAGTTCAATTAGAAAAATAGCCTTGCTTCACCATTTAATTCCTACAAAAAAAATCAGCCAAAATTAACCAAATGTTGCCATCTGACTAGTCAACTTTGTAAGCAGTATAGCAGAAGCTACCGTTGCATATTACAAATTAACTTCTATATTTTTCCATGATTTTTATAAAAGAAAATATAGGAGACAATTTACCCCTAACAATTTCCTAAGAAAGTATTTAAATAATTATCTAGAAATGGGGGGGGGGGGAGAAGCATGGACATCATCTTCTTTTTCTACTTTTTCTGCATTGTGTGAATTGCAACGTAGAGGTTTATCTAAGCTTTAGATTACCTCTAGAGTTCATTCTTTCTATAGCTCAATACAATATATGGCTACATTCTCAGCATATCTTTTTCTTGTTTGTTTGCTTGCCTTACCTTATTCTTCTTGCATACCAAAGAGAGCACATAGAAACTGTCATTTAGGCCCCAATTACTCTGAAAAAGAAAATGTGGAACTCCTCAGTAAGACTCATGTAAATAGACTTAACATTTCAATGAGAAGCTGGAGAAAACATTTGGATAGGTTAATAAATCCATATAAATATCATTTTTCATATTAAAACGGTAATACTTTCATGACCAAAATTTAATTTTATTTTGCTTAAATAATAATTTATTTTTCCACAGAAAAAGTGAGCAAAGAGCACAATCAGTCTAAAGATAATACCATCACAATTACAACTAGGTAAGTACTATTCATGATAAACAAAAGTAGGCTTGATAAAGTTCAGTGTAACATCATTTTTATAGATATTTAGCTCAGGTGTCCAGCAAATATTTTATTTCATATTTTAGAGGATAATATGTATCTAATGAAAACTCGTGCAGATAGAGATAAAACATTTCCAGAAATGTTAAAATAATTAAGAGGGAGAAAATAGTTTTTTCCCCTGGAAAAAATGAAACTTTGGGAAATAATTGAAATATTTGCAGGCATAAAATAAAGTTTTTTTAAATAAAATGTATTACATATAATTTCCTTATAAAAATATACATAATGAATAAAAAATGAAAATATAGCTGTTTCAAATGTATTTACAAATGTAATGATTTGATCTATTTTTACATATTTTAATATTTGATACAAATAAGAGGTATAGACCTTAAGGCAGACATGTCAAACTCGCGACGTCACGTGACATCGCGTGACATATCAGAGCTTTTTCCCCATTGCCGGCAATGGGGTGGGCGTGGTTTTGTTGTGGGCCGGCAGTTTGACATCCCTGCCTTAAGGAAAGTAACATCTCTTCATTTTTGCCTATTTAGTAGCAGCAGTTACAAAAAAAATCAATATGAAAGAGAAGAAACTGTTAACATCCAAATACATCAAACAAAAACATTCATTACGTCTTCAAGTGCTTTTTTTCAAAAAAAAAAAATACTTTTAACGTGAAACAGGAAGGGAGGGAAGGAGGGAGGATCAAAGTTGTTAACTAATATCATTTTCTGAATCTGAGATAATCTCATTATCAAGTCACTCCTCTGATCCTTCATTTATATCATTTTATCTTTTTATTTGTATTTTTAAATGTTATCTGTTTTGTTAAGATTTCAATAAGAATACTAGGAAACAATTCATATTTTTTTCTTTTTCAGTCTTTGAAAAAACCAAACAAAATGTCTTAGATTTTCTAAGATGTCTTCGTTTTTTAACCAAGCCTTCACATCACTATGCATGGTCCGCAATCTAGCAAGAATTGAATACAGTTAAATCCCTTTGATTTCCTACTGAAACTATGTGATTTACTATGGCTGGATTATAGAATGTCCTGTTTTTTATTAATGTGTATCTCTGTTTGAGATGTAATTAAATATGCAAGTCAATCATGAAGCAAACTAATGAAATATTCTTGATGTGCATATAAATTATAAGATTGTATTTATACCATGCATTCAAAGGATTATTTTCTATACTCACTGTTGTCAGACACCATGGATATGAAACCTCATCATTTTAAGGCAAACTGCTGATCAACACATTGCTTTACTTTTTCTTACTTAATCACTGATGTCATGTGGATTATTCTCATGTCTGTTTGAGTGTAAGAGAAGCAGTTTAATACCTATCTTCTCCAGCTTGAATTTGAAAGAAAATAAAACATGGTGCCCCGCCCTAGTAGTCTTAAAATAGATTTTATTTGTATCAATGGGAACTCTTTTTTATAAGCCTCCTATTGCACCAGGTTGCAGAAGCAGGGAAACTCTTCTTAGATCACTGCCAGAGAGGAAATAATAATAGTTCCCTTCATGCTTACTATTAATTAAGGAAAATTAGATATGTGGCTGTTGGGAATTTTTATTTTAACTTGGCATGATTTCTCAATTTCTCCCTAAAATCTCACTTATGTTCAATTTGGCAAAAAACCACTGAGTATGATATCAAATTTCTTACCTTGTTTAATCCAATAAGTTAAGAAGTTGCTCTCAGGAGATTCTGAAAAGACTTATAAACTCGCCTTTTTCGCCGAGCCCTGAAGGCCCATCTATTCCGTGCGGCCGGCCTGGCGTAGTTTGATTATGTTTTAGTGGGGGTTTTGTATGGGGTACTTTTAGAGCAGGCCTGTTATTTAATTTGATTTTAGAACAGAAACTTGTGTATATTTATCGTGGTTTTTATTATCGCCTGTTCACCGCCCTGAGTCCCGTAAGGGAGATAGGGCGGTATATAAATTCAATTAATAATAATAATAATAATAATAATAATAATAATAATTAAATTAGTCATTATAGTAAAAAGTAAGCAACCTCAACCTCTGTATAGAGCAGGGGTTCTCAACCTTGGCAACTTTAAGACTTGTGGACTTCAACTCTCAGAATTCCTCAGCCAGCAAAGTTGGCTGAGGAATTCTGGGAGTTGAAGTCCACAAGTCTTAAAGTTGCCAAGGTTGAGAACCGCTGGTATAGAGGGACAGTAATGATGGTGAAGCCAAGAAGAATTTTTGGAAGGCAGAATAGAAACAGGGCCAAGTTACCTTTCAGCTGCTAAATAAGTGATGCTGTAAGATTATTTTTCTGGACTGGCCTGTTAACTTGGTTAAGATCTCATTTCAAAAAATTACAATCAAGCCTCTTGGATCCTCAAAAATAGCATTTAGATTACAATCAGGAGGAAAAAAACAAATCAATCTATTGAAAATCATGTGCAATGCATTTGGGATAGTAGTCAACTATTCCTAAGCTATTAACATTCAAATATCATTGTAGTCTTTTTCAAAATTTTATTCCTTCCTTTGAATTTATCACCCAAAGCTCCCTTTGGCTTTTTGGACTTGACTTTAAACAATTGCTTTTATTGTTTATATGGAAATTAGCTAGTAAATTAAGGCAGGTGCTAATTATTTAAACAAGCCATTCAGGTAGTGCTGGGGAGACACGGAGGAATAGCATTATTGTATATTATAAAAATTCAGACACGCTATAAGAGTGCTAGTAGTACTATTACTACCTAAATAGCTTCCTTAAACAACAGATAAAATGCATTGGCTCAGCCAAAGAGGAGATAAATAATTGTGACAAGAACACTTAACTTCAAAAGATTCCTTAATTACAAATACATTTTCCAAAAAAATTAGCTGCTTACTAAAGGTCATATTGGAAATAAACATTGTGCTTCATGTAAAAAATATTAAGAGGAGGTGTCAATCTTCACACTGACTTCTACTTTATCCAGACCACTTGAATTAACTTGGCTGGAACCTGCTTCTGGTATATATAGTTTGTCTTTGCAGTGTAGTGCTTTATAAAATCTCATATAAACTGCCCTATGTCCTGAAATTCCTCTACCAAGAGTGGGCAATCCACTAATACTGCTTTTCTGAACATCTGCATTGGCCATGGAAAATAATATTTATTCCAGAATTATATTGGGAAGATCTTGAGATTTGGCCAGCAAAATTAAGTTTTTTTAGCGGTTGGTTAGCTTGTTTTGAATCATTTTCAAAATATTTTTGACAGTATTTAGGATTGGGACATTGATAGTACTAGTCCATAATATTGATTTTTGCAATAACTGTTGTGAAAGTTTATCAAAAACATGCTTTCAGTCTTGTATATCTCTAAACCATAAAATTCAAAGAGATACACCATGTGATATAGTTATGCATTAATAGGACTTATTTACTAATTAATATATATTTCTGTTTTAAAAATCATTTTTCCTCAGCCCATTTTTTTCTGAAGATACTTTTAGACAATCACCATTCACTTCCAACTCAAAAGATCTTCTGTCTAATGAGAGTGCTGTTCAGGGAAGAACATCAGTTCTAGGTATAGTAACACCATGTTTCAAATGTTGTGGAAAAAGTGCTAAACATAATATGTCAAATAAAAATAGTGTATTGGTTTTTACTTAGTTTAACAAGAATTATTAGTAGTTCAAATTTGTTGGGGAGTTGGGAAAAAAATGATTAATTGCATGGGAAGAATGGCAGTAAAAACTGTGAGAATGAATGTTAATTAGAAATTCCTAATTAGAATACTGGGAAGAATGTTGATCTATAGCAGTCATGCCAAACTTGCAACGTGCAACGTATCGTGACTTTTCCCCCCATTGCCGGCAGTTTGACATGCCTGATCTATAGCAATTATTTCTCTGGATTGCTTTTTCTGCTATATATACTCACTTGCAATATTGTCATAGAAATTGTCTGGTTCAAGCATACATCGCATGAAACCATAGGTATAGGATAAAATAGAATAGAATAGAATAGAATAGAATAGAATAGAATAGAAAATGGCTTGTGGGGTAGAGTTTAGATTAAAGATTGCATAAATAGCATATTTGTATTAAAACTGGGCTTTGGTTGGGCATATTGGCCGGGATAATTTAATCCATAAAATACGTAATCATTCTGTTAGTGTTTTCTGCATCCAAGGTTAACCAAGCTAATACGGATCTTTAGAATCTCTTGCAGCTCCTGAAAGATTTGGTTTATTCTTTTATTGTTGCTGTAGAGAACTGTGTGAGATCACTTTGCAGAAATAAAGTGTTATGGATGCTATGCTATTTAAGATTCTATTAAGATGTAATATCTTTTGCAATTGTTATTAACTCCATTTTGAAACATGGGTAAAATATAGTCTAATCATAGTCTGGTTTAGTCTCCTTTCATATTTGTCCAAAAGGCATACATGACTGTGGGAAAGAGTATACCCAAACACAGTGGCCATTGTTTTCTGGCTGTTTGGCCATAGCTAAGAGAAAAACCTCTCTAAAAAATTAAATACAAGTAGTCCTTGACTTACGAGAGTTCATTTAGTGACTGGTAAAAGTTATATTATTGAAAAAAGTGACTTATGACCATTTTTCGCACTTACAACAGTTGCAGCATTCTTATGGTCACTTGATCAAAATTCAGGCAGTCGATAACTGTCTCATATTTATGATGGTTGTAGTGTCCTGGGTCATGTGATCCCCTTTTGCAACCTACTGACAAGCAAAGTCAATGGAGAAGCCAGATTAACTTAACAACCTTGTTACTAACTTAACAACTGCAATGATTCACTTAACAACTGTGGCAAGAAAGGTCATGAAATGGGGCAAAACTCACTTAACAAATGTCTACTTAGCAACACAAATGTTGGGCTCCATTGTAGTCATAAGTCAAGGACTACCTGCATTATGTATTAGAAAATTAAGGGAAAACAGAGCTATATTAATGAGCATAGTATTTCCTATCTTCACAATTTTCTATAAATTAGAATTTTTGTGAGGTAAGGGATGGAGACTAGAAAGCATTATTGTTCGTACTTGGTGCCTATACTTTGAAATATTCTTTCTCTAGAACAGTGGTGGTGAACCTATGGCACGGGTGCCAGAGGTGGCACTCGGAGCCCTCTCTGTGGGCACACGTGCCGTTGCCCCAGCCTTGCCTCCTCCATGACCCCCTCCTCTCCAGCAGCCCCCTTGAAGGAGAGTCACCCCCGAGCGTGGCCCACACGGAGCAGTGCAGCCAAGGACATGGCAGCCAGGCAGCGTAGACAAGACTCTGCCCTCGCACCCCATCATGCAGTTGATGCTGCAGGGCGCGGGTAGAGGGTGTGGCCGCCATAGCGCTGCTGGGCTGCCTGGGCGATCTGCAGTGGGCCCTGGAGGCGGTGAGTGGTCCTGTGGATAGATGGGGTGGGGGATGGTGGGCAGAGCAGGGATGGGGCCAGTTTTTGGGCATTTGATCTTTAAAAGGTTCGCCATCACTGATCTAGAACTTAGATTGGTTCCTTCAGGCAATGTTTTTTGGAAGCCAGCAAATACAGAATTCTTCCAATGTAACCATCATAATTTTTCTTTATTCACTTTTTATTCCTTTTATTTTTACTATTGGCTTTGCTTTGGAATTTTTAGGTATTCTAGGCACTGATATTCTGAAGGTTTTAATTAAAATAATATTTTTTCTCCTTTTCTCGTCATAGAGATTTTTTTTACTTATTTTTGTTTTTCTTAGATGTTTTTATTATTTTTTATTTTGTTGTAAGCCGCCAAGAATCAGAATGATTCAGGGGCATACAAATTAAATAAATAAACAAAGCTAATAAATAAGTAAATTGTAGATTTAGATCTTTGGCTATGAAGTAAAGTATATAAATGGCATACCCAAGGGCTTCAAGTAGAGGAATGGAAAACATTTTGAATCTGAAAAGTTTCGAATTTGAAACAGTCATTATGTTTGGAACTGGTTGTCCTAGCCATTCTGTGTTTTATGCCTTAAATAGAGCTCAGGCACTCAGAGCAGTTTCTAACATAAAACAACTGTTTAAACTTGAAATGGCTGTTTTGAATTCAAAACAGAACATTATAAATTCAAAACATTTTGCACGCTTCTGCTTCCAACTTTATGTCAGAAATGAGAAATATCTCAGTAAGAGTCACATGCAGCTAAAATCTGGCATTAGAAAAGTTCACATATGCACCTTCTGGAGGGGCAGGAATAGAAAAATAGTGAGCAGTATAGTAGTTTTTGTGATACAATTTAAAATGCCCAGTGGCATCTTGATACTGGGTAGTACAGTATATGGAAAAGTTTGGTAAAGAAAACAGCATCTAAAAGTTTGCCATGACTGCTGTTTCTACTCAGTTTGAGGGACCTAAAACAAAGTATCTTTGAATATGATAGTGGGCAGCAACTGCATTTTATTTTTCTAGGCCAATATTTCTCAACCTTAGCAACTTTAAGATGTATGGTTTTCAACATCCAGAATTCCCAGCCAGCCATGGGGAATTCTGGGGATTGAAATCCATGTATCTTAAAGTTGCCAAGATTGACAAACTTTGGTCTATTATCAGTTCAGCAATAGTTTCTGGACTCGTTGCCTCCGGGTGAGGCTATTCTGAGAAATTGGGAAGGAAGATGATCAATTTGTAGCCATTTTGCCCAATTTTTTCTCTTTCTTAGTCAGGTCCTGATTTCATGCCACTGAAATAAAGAAACATTGCATCAACATGGGCCTGGCATTTTCCAGACCTTTCACCTGCTGATGCCAGGTGGGGCAAAGGTGTTATCTTCCTTTTTTACCCCTTTAGATATTATTCTAGATAGTATCAATGCAGTTCAGTGATTAATATTGATTTTAATTCATGTTTCTTACAAATACGGAAGGTTAATATACAATAAGGTGAGCCTATCAAAATACACTAACAAAGCAAAATATTAGATCGATTTATAGTCATCAGACAAAGTCATAGTTTAGTGTTAACAGAATTGCAAAGTTAAGGCTTCCATCTGATTACTATTTGTAATGTTTATTTTGTTTTGTTTTATTCTTTTGTAATGCTGCAAACATGAAAATTTCAGAAAATTGGGGGGGGGGGGGATCAGCATTGGCTAAAAACCTCCCAGCATACTTTTCCTAATATTTTGCCAATAAGCAAAATTAGGATTCCTATAAAATGCATTTTCTCTTATTTACAAAAATCATAGGATTAATGGCCGAGAGAACCAGTTTGGTCTAGTGATTAGGTACCAGGCTAGAAACCAGGTGACTGTGGGGTCCAGTCCTGCCTTAGGTATGAAAGCTGGCTGGGTGATTTTGCACCAGTGTCACTTTCAGCTGACGACTCATGCTTGGATGACAAGATGGTCAGTCAATTCCTGTCAGAACCAATGGATGAACATTCAGTTGATCTGAAAAAAATGAATCCTATATTTGGGGAAAATGTAGAAAGGGAAAAAAAGTAGGATTGGAGGAGCAATCACTAAATCCCATTCTTTCAGGAAAGAGGAAAATAGGAAGGAAAATAGGATTTCTGTGCAGAGTCCAGACTGAAGAAGATTCATATAATTCATTCTCAACAGAGGCAAGGGCCTGCATGCATTATAAGCAAAACTTAGTAGTGACTGTGGAATATTAATGCTTTTGTAGAAGCACAGAAAATGGAAGAATCAGCTGCTATAATATAACTCAGGGGGAACAGCCCAGATTGTTAATTATATAAAGTAAGCATAAGATGTATCATTTGGAAGGGGGTGAGGCATGATCTTTGATGCATATGTAGGATATGCTTAGATGAACTGATCCATGTAGTTGATTTATAGTTTTAGATCAGCCTAGTAAGTTACTATTTAAATTCAAATAGTAATTTGAATTTAAACATATTTGGAAACATGTGTGGGCACACATGTAAGCGTCTCTTTGCATCTTATTAAATTAAATACAAATTACCACAGATTGTTCCATAGCTATGAATGGAGCTGTACAATTCCAGAAAAAGATGCAGTTTCTCTAAAGAGTTGTTAACAGATACTGCATGACTTGAACACCTATGTATTTTCAGTCCAAACAGAGCATAGCATTCTAGAGCATAGCCATACAGTAAGGCATTTGATAAAGTAGACCACAACCTACTACTTGATAAGATAGAAAAATGTGGGTTAGACAGCATCACCACCAGATGGATTCATAGCGGCTGACCAGCCGTACTCAGCATGTGGTCTTCAGTGGAACCGCATCTACATGGAGGGAAGTGTGTATTGGGGTGCCCCAGGGCTCTGTTCTAGACCCAGTGCTCTTCAACAGCTTCATCAATGATTTGGATGAGGGGATAGATGGGGAACTCATCAAATTTGGAGACGACACCAAGCTGGCAAAAATAGCTAACACTCCAGAAGACAGGCTTAAGATACAGAAGGATCTTGACAGACTTGAACATTGGGCGCTATCTAATAAAATGAAATTCAATGATGAAAAAAGTAAGGTTCTACATTTAGGCAAGAAAAATCAAATGCACAGCATAGTATAGGTGGTACCTTGCTCAATAGTAACAACTGTGAGAG